AATTTAATGGTCGATCATTATGGCACGAAAATCGAGGTAATACTTTTCTACCTCTTTATGCTTTATGGAACATGTTGATATTGTAAATGCATGAATAAGATAATGTTGGTCACTTTTGTGGAGTTGATTAATTTATACACTCGATATGAATGTGGTAGAAATTTGATAACTGAATACGGATCGAATGACTAATTTAAGAGATTGAGGGATTGTTATAATTAAATTACAAGTTTTGTGACTAGTGATAAAGAAATCAGCTCTGGATTTGTAACTTATATTTTATATCAATAAAGGTTAAATATTAAAGGTACTCAGATGAAATATTATGAGAATACTCTGGTTGGGTAAAATTACGAAAATACCCTTATATTGTAAAATGACAAGAATTATCCCTGGAAGTTGATTAATAACTCTGAAAAGACTTATTGATCTGATAAAACTACAGATGTGTATAAGAAATGCTAGTTTTACTTGAAAATTTAGATAACCGGATTTTAACCCCATGAGGGTTTGTGCAAGATACTAGAAGTATTAAGGAATCATTTCAAGATAAGAGAATGTTCAGGAAAACAATTAACTATATGATCTCTAAATTATAGTTATTTCGTTAAGAGTTAATATCGAAACTATTTGGTTAAGAAATTACGAAAATACCCTTAAAATGTAAAAATAGTCCGAGTTGACCCTGAATGAGAAAGTACATTGAGGGTTCGTACTTAACTCGATAAAGTACAGATTTAATTGTTAAGATCTGGTCTTTGTATAGAAAATTTCTGATAACTTGGTAACTTTTTAGAAGACAATTGACCTGAAAATCTCTGAGTTAAGAATAAATTTATCGGAGGGTGCTCTTTTATCAGAATTGTTCGAAGGGACTGAAATAGATGATAAATTGGAATTAAATAATAAGACCGGATGGAAAATACCGTAGATCTATAAAATGACCAAAATACCCCTGTAATGGAAATGACTCAAGAATATTACCAAGCTCAGGAATGATTGGATATCCTCGAGCTCTGAAAAGAATGGAATGAAACTGAGCACCAAAATGACCAAAATACCCTTATGACCTAAACTAAGTAGAGGTGTTGGATTAATTAAGGAATCCAAATAAACATGGATGTGGTACTGCTCTTAAAAGTTATGGTCACTTGAATACGTGTTTAACTTCTCAAGTTTGGCTCGATGATAATTTTGGATGTATTCAGCTCAGCTCAGCTCTAGATCGTTTTCAGTATTAAGAATTTGATATTTGTACAACAAATCAATCACGAATATCGAACTAAATTAAAAGGGAATACAATATGTATCAGTAATTCAGAAACGTCTGGTTTACCCTAGAAAACTCAGAAGTAACTGAATGGACTTGACTACTAAATGAATTAAGTAACCTCAAGGACTAAGGATTAAATAAATGATTTGGATGAGTCTGGAAACGTTAATGAACATACATGATGTAATGTTCTTATGGATCATGAACTACAAATCAAGCACGTCAGCATTTCATGATATAATGAAAGCGTGAAAATGAAATCAAGACATTGGAAGATTTATTCAGTGATGATTCCGAAGATGATTTATGGATAAAAAGTTTTGGTATTAAAGTGTAAATACCCTGGAAGAACAACGAATTGACCAGTCGATAAATATTAGTTCTGAGAACTATTCATCTAAGAGTTGTTCGATAATTCGATCAATCGACATAGATTTTAAAGGTCTTGAATCTTCGTTTTTCCTTATCAGCTCAAATCACTCTGGTTATGTATGAAAACACAAGTAACTCAGATGTAAAAGATTCTGAATACTCTTCTGATTACGTAGAGCTTCCGAAAAGTGTTTGAATAAGATGATCCCGCATATTCTGAATAACTGATGATTCTGTCAATTATTGAACTCTTCCAATAGTGATTTCTAACTTCTGGCATTCTATCGGTAAACAGAAGATTCGTGTTTCTCTACCCGATAAGATTATCCAGTACCTCTGAATAATATCTGTAAACTCTGGTGTGTTCCCTAATCATATAAATATTTTATCTGATTTTCGACTTGAATTCTGTTATGATACATTACCTCAATTTGTTTGATTCTGATTGGATTCTGTTCTGTATCTGATCTGAATTTGTTTTGATTTCTGATATCTCTGTTTACGACGAGAAATGTTTTATATGGGGGGTTATTGTTGGAGAAAGAATATCTGCAGGCTTCTCGGCTGTGTGCTCAGGGCCTCACTGGTTGTACGGGGTGTATGGTTCCGGAGAACCTACACAAACAGATTGTGAAAGGATGAGGTGTGTATATATATGTTTGAAAATAAAAATCTGTATCTTTTTACTGGTTTTACGGGAACACACTTGATAGCCTATTCTGATCTCCTGAACCTAGACATCTGAAATATTTCCATCTGAACTGAAAACTCATTGTCCGTTACTATCTGAAATATCAGTAGGATCTCCGCTCTGCATAAAAATCCATAGATGTTCGGAACCAATAAGAAAATATATGTTTATCTGTATCTGCATGTTCTTTAGCATCATCTGGTAGTTCTGTATTATTGATATTCTAACGGCTTTAAGTTTATATATAATTTTATCTTAATTATTTTCTTATTTCAAAAATTATAAATGATATTATCAAATATGCATATTGATTCTATTATTTACATGAAATAACAAATAGAAAATTAAAATAAATAATAAAAAACTCAATAATTGTTGGATTTTCCCCATGACAATCTGTATTTATATAAAATTCGTTCACGAACATATAAAAATTAAATTTAAAAAATCACCATTCAACTTAACAATCATTATATTACTAAATTTAAATATAAGATCAAATAATTCTAATTAAAAATAATAAATATAATATTACTTAATTGCTTACCTTTAAAAATTGACACTCAATTGAATTTGGATTATTTCAGTAAATTTCAGACAATAGTAGTAGAAGAAACTTAATTTTATTGTAGAGCTTATGGGTTTTTCACAATATTATACGTTGGAAATACAAAGACTTTATCCCATTTATATTGGTTTTGAAAAACCACAACCTTATACAAATGCAGTACAAATTTTTGACAACTCCTATTAGGATAAGAAAAAAAATTAAAAATTACAGCAGGGGCCGAAGCCCCCTTAGCCCCCAAGGTCCGTCTCTGCTCGCTACTATAACTTTTATATATATTCAAATGATTAATTTTGTCACTAATTGAATTAAATTAATTTATTTTTTCTTTAACTGTCAATCGAATTACTTTTTAAAAAAATTATTAAAAAACAAAGTTTGATTTATTCGAAATTAACTAAAATGTCTTAAAAAGATTTAATTAGATTAATTTAAGTTTGATATATGTATTTTCATTTGAGTTAAATTTGATTGATTCTTGAAATTAGTAATAACCTCAGTGACGAAAATGCTTATAATATACGATTTTAACCAATTTTTTTCGATTTGCCAAAATGATCAACAAAATCGCAACGCGAACTCTAATTTTTCAACTCAGTTCCCAAATTCGCAACGTGATTTTAAAAAATGTGTTGCGATAGTTAAAATGTGTCGCGAGAGTTTGAAAAACGTGTTGTTGCGATAGTGAAAAAGTGTTGCGATAGTGAAAAATCCAAAATAAGTTTATATTTTAACTATTCCAAATTCACGTGGAGTTTGAAACAATAAAGAATGTGTTGCGATAGTGTAAAAGATTCCCAAGCCATTTGTAAGATCTTAGTTTGAAACAATAAAGAATGTGTTGCGATAGTGTAAAAGATTCTCAAGTGTTTGCCTCAATAAAGAATGTGTTGCGATAGTGTAAAAGATTCCCACATAAGATAGTTGAAACAATAAAGAATGTGTTGCGATAGTGTAAAAGATTCTCAAGTGTTTGCAATGCTCAATCCCACATAGTATTGGAAATATTATTGGAAATGAGTATTTAAGGATTGGATTTCCCACTTCCTTGTTGAGTGGAAGAGAACAAGGGGACTCTCGCGCACCGCCGCCGTCCCGTCTCGGGTCGTGGTCGTGGTCGTGGTCGTGGTAATACGTGTCTTCGACACGCCCGCGCGGATACTATCTTTTTAAAGAAAATTCTTAAGAAATCGCAACGTGAACTTGGACTATCGCAACGAATTTGGACTAACGTAAATTTGGAAAATAGCGTTGCGATTTTGTATTATCGCGTTGCGATAGTTAGAATCGCATTACGATTTACATATTCGCATTGCGATAGTCAAATTCGCGTTGCGATTTACATATTCGCATTGCGATAGTCAAACTCGCGTTGCGATTTACATATACTGATTTGCAATACTGGAGATCGCGTTGCGATAATCAGAATCACGTTGCGATTTAGAGATCGCATTGCGATTTTGTTGGTCATTTTGGCAAATCGAAAAAAATTGGTCAAAATCGTATATTATAAGGCATTTTCGGTAACTGAGGTTATTTTCTCTATATTTTAATTAGATTAATGGGTCTATTATAAAAATAGTTATATTTTAATTCTTGAGGATTCGAGCTTAAAATCTTAAAGATTATTATGTGATATATCTATTATAAAATTCTTAACTATGAACTCGAGCTAGTATCTAATTAACTAAACTAAATTTTATTTTTGATTGATTATTCGATTAAAATTAAACAATAAACACCCCAATATATATATATGTATAATATGGTATACCTATTATGAAATTCTTGAATTCATCATAGAGGTTAAGCATTAAATTATCCCAAAGATGGTTATCAATAATGCATCATAATATAAAGACAAAAATAAGTGATTGGAATCATGGGAGGAATCGGAGGCAAATGGATTGAGACCTGAAATCAAGACCACTTAGAATATGGCAAATATTACATCTCTACATATTTGTCAACCATGGAATCTCCGTCATTAAAGAATACAAAATATTATTACTTCGTGTTTTAGTTTACCAACTATGCACAACAATTATTAAAAATATAAAAGCTGAAAATCAACAATGGTGTATAAAAACATATATAAAACCACAAGCGAAGAACTTGGCCTGCAAAACCCATGGATTTGCCTCCAAGTTTTCTTCTTTGCCTTTTCATATTTGCATCATCAGCCTTATTTCTACTCATCCGAAGAAGAAACAAAAACGACAAGCTCCCTCCAGGTCCACCGGGATGGCCTATTTTCGGCAACATGTTCGACCTTGGCACCATGCCGCATCGGACCCTGACCCGCTTTCGAGACGAGTATGGTCAAGTCATATGGCTCAGGTTAGGAGCCGTTAATACCATGGCAATCCTTTCGACGAAAGCGGCCACCGATTTTTCAAGAAACATGATCTCGCCTTCGCCGAGCGCAACCTCACCGAAACCATGCGCGTCTACGATTACCACAAGAGCTCGGTGGCTTTAGCCCCGTATGGGTCATACTGGCGCGTGATGAGGCGCTTGGTCACCGTGGATATGTTGGTTAACAAGCGGATAAACGAAGCAGCTACCATACGGAGAAAATGCACCGACGACATGCTTCGGTGGATCGAAGAAGAGACGAGGAAGATTCAAGGAGAGTCGAACGGAAATAACGGAATCCGGGTGGCGCGTTTCGTGTTCTTGTTGACGTTTAATTTGCTCGGGAACCTCATGTTGTCAAGAGACTTGTTGGATCCGGATTCAAAGGAAGGGTCCGAATTCTTCAGTGTCATGACGAGGCTGATGAAATTGTCTGGGAACGGAAATGTAGCAGATTTTTTCCCATGGTTGAAATGGCTTGACCCTCAAGGACTTAAAAGGAAGACGAAGAAGAATCTGGGTAAGGCTCTTGAAATTGCTTCTAACTTCGTGAAAGAAAGAATGGAAGATAAGAATTCAAGTGAAAATAACAAGAGAGATTTCTTGGATATGTTGCTTGAGTTCCAAGGAAATGGCAAGGACGAGCCGGTTCAATTATCTCAACAAGACATCTATATCTTTATCCTGGTAATTATTTTACATAACATTCACATACTTTTTTCAGCGTAATGTCAAAACTATCCCAAACGTTTGATTAAATATTCATTTTGATAATCTTTTTTAACATTTTGGCCTTTCACGTTTTACTTTAGAGTAAAAAATGCTCTACGTGGATGAAAAATGTTAATCAACAAATGACCAACGTTAAAAAAACATAGGCATTTTTGCCCTAAAATGAAATGTTGGAGCAAACTACTTAAAAAAGAATGGGTAAACTACCAATTTGGTCATCACCTATTATTTTGCTTTTGTTTTGTTCACTAAACTATTACTATTTTTTTTCAAAAACATACTTAATATTATATTTTAGTTATATTTTGATCACTCATCATTAATTTTTTAACGGTGATGCTTACCTGACATTTTTTCTTATTTTTAAATGTTAAAGTGACATTATCTTATAGTGACACATCAATGCCACTGTTAAAAGATTAATGGCGGTGACCAGAATAGAACCAAATTGTAACGTTAGATACAAATTTGAAAAAAGTAATAGTTGGTGACTCAAACTAAAACTAAGTAAAAAGTGGGTGATCAAATAGCTAATTTATCCGAAAAAATAGAGGCAAAAAAGATTATTTAAACAAATGTTAAGAGTTTTTTTATCCTAATATAAAATATTGAGAGCCAAAATAATTTAAAAGAATAGACCTTTACATAACAAAATTGTGCATCTTTTGGAGCAGGAGCTATTCATGGCCGGGTCAGAAACAACAAGCAGCACCATAGAATGGGCATTAACTGAGTTGCTTTGCAATCCCAAGACCATGATGGAGGCGAAAGCAGAGCTTAGTGGTGTTGTAGGACCAAACAAAAGGGTAGAAGAGAGTGATATCGGAAACCTTCCTTACTTGAACGCAGTGATCAAAGAAACATTTCGGCTACACCCCCATTGCCATTCCTTGTCCCAAGAAGGGCAATGAAAGACACCGAGTTCATGGGGTACCAAATACCCCAAAACACACAAGTTCTCGTAAATGCTTGGGCCATCGGAAGGGATCCAGATGTGTGGGATGACCCGTTTTCGTTCAAGCCCGAGCGGTTCATCGGATCGAAAATCGACTACAAGGGCTATAACTATGAGCTGATTCCTTTTGGAGCTGGAAGAAGAATGTGCGCGGGTTTGGCACTGGGTGAGAGGGTGCTTCACCTCGTCTTAGGCTCATTGCTTCACCATTTTGATTGGGAACTTGGAGGCAATGTGACCAAAGAGACGATTGACATGAAAGAAGCATTGGGTGTAACAATGAGGAAATTGGAACCATTGCTTGCAGTTCCAAAAATGTGCATGAAATCTGCAGATTAAAGTAAACCGGGGTTATTCCGGTTGACGGTCAATTTACAATCTTTTGCATGATAAATATAATATATAAAAATGTAGTTATAATGGAAATTGAATAATGTTGATGGATGTTATTAAAACATGCATTGTTCTTAAAAGAATTAGTTATTGTATTAATATTTTCATTGTTCAATTTAGCATTGTTTTCATTCTGATATATCAATAGATGAATTTCAATTTTAGACTTCTTACATTACTTTCTAAAACATCGCCTGAATAAATCAATTGCAGCTAAAATTTCCTAAACATAAGAGAATGCTAAAGCCTAGGAAAGTTGAAGTTGAAGTTGAATAAATCAATTGCAGCTCAAATATCCGGAAGTACATGCATAAACAATTTCAATAATAACAATAATGTACAAAGTTCAGTTTACAAATATAACAATTCCAAAATATGAATAAAAGTTCGATAAAAGAAAAGTAGAATAAAAATCATATTGAAAATAATAGTTTTGTCTTAATACAGAATGTGATTCTCCGAGTACTGAAACACCTAAATCTAAGTATTTTAAATAAAAATTATGGGGTGTAAACTATTAAGTTTAGTGTGTTTTAAAGTGCAAAGAAACACAAGTCTCAAATCACAAGTCAAAAGCACAATTCAAATGATTAATAATGTTCACAGTCCAAATAAAACCTATAACCCCCTCAGACCGATGCGGGTAACCCCATCTGATATGGGGTGTCACATTAGGGCCACTGGAGCGACCCACTATAAAAATCTCGGAAAATTTAAAACTTTTGTCAAAACATGTAAACTCATAAAATGATTCATGAATAAAAAATAAAATTTATCAGTATTAAGAAATAAAACAGATTTTCAGACTCATATATATATAAAACAAAATACAATTACATGCCCCCTAATCATATATATCATACTCTGCAAGTAACACCGGAAGAACTCCCTTACTGATGTCGATAGACGCATTAATACAATTCTTTTAACCTGAAAAAGGTGAGTAACAGAGTGAGTTTTGGAAAGCTCAGTAATACAGAACTACCAGATGATGCTGAAGAACGTGCATATACAGATAAACATATATTTCCTTATTAATTCATACATCTATAGATCTTTATGTTGAGTGGATATCCTACTCATATTTCAGGTAGTAACAAATAGTAAGCTTTCGGTTCAGAGGGAAATATTTCAGTTGACTGGGTTCAGGAGATTAGAATAGGTTATCTAGTGTGTTCCCACAAAACCATTGAAAAGATACAGATCTTTTTAAAACATATTTTTAAAATTCAAAAACCATCCCCCAACCGAACACGTCCAAAATGTGTAAGTTTCCCAAAACCATACAACCCCGTCACATCCAGTAAGGCTCTGAGCACAAATCCAAGGAGCCTGTAAGTATTCTTCCTCCAACAATACCCCCCAAATAAAATATGTTCCATCCGTAAATGAGTATATCAAAAATCAAAACATAATTCAGGTCAAGTATCAGATCAGAATCCAGGTCAAATATCATATCAGAATCCAGGTCAGGTATCATAACAGAATTCAAATCGGAAATCAGATAAAATATTAATGTGATTAGGGAACACACCAGAGTTTACAAATATTATTCAGATGTACTGGATAATCTTATCAGACAGAGAAACATGAATCTTCAGTATACCCATTGAATATCAGAATTTCGAATCACTATTGGAAGAGTTTAATAACAGACGGAATCATCAGTTATTCAGAAAGATACTTGAGATGATAAGGAAGAAATGAAGGTTTAGGACATTTACAGTCTGTGTTGATCTATCAGATTATCGAAATCACTAAAGATGAACAACTCCTAGAACTAATGCATGTTGACCTGTCCATTCCTTGTTTTTCCAGGTATTCACTCTTTAATACCAACAATTATTATCCATAAATCATCTTTTGAGTCATTGTTGAATAGATCTTCCAATGGTCTTTATTACAATTCCACGCTTCAACGATATCAAGAAATACTGATGTACTTGATTTTTGGTTCATAACCCATAGTAATGGTACACTATGTAAACTCATCTGAGTTTCCAGACTTATCCAATTCACTTACTTAATCCTTAGTCATTGAGGTTACTTAGTTCATTTAGCAGTCAAGTCTATTCTAGTTATTTTGGGGTTTTCCAAAGTAATTCAGACGTTTCTAAATGTCGTATACATATTGTACTTCTTTTTAGTTCAATTTGATCTTCGTGGTTGATTTGTTTAACTATTATCCACTTCTTAGTACCAAATACGATCTAGAGTTGAGTTGAGCTGAGCTAAGTACTTCCAAAATTATCATCGAGCCAAACTTGAGAAGGCGAACGCGTAATCAACTGATATATATGTTGTTCATGCACTGACATATCATTAGGGTTGATCAGCTCACTTAAGTTGTGTTCCATAACTTATAAGGTTAGTACAACACCTATGTTTATTTGTATTCCTTAATTAATCCAAGATATTTACTTAGTTTAGGCCATAAGGGTATTTTGGTTATTTTGGTGCTTAATGTTATTCAAGTCATTTCAAACCTTGAGGATATCCAATCATTCCTAGGCTTGGTGATATTCTTGTGTCACTTCCATTACAGGGGTATTTAGGTCATTTAACAGATCCAAGGTATTTCAATCATTTCCTTCCGTCTGATCTTATATTTAATTTGAACTTATCGTCTATTTCAGTATTCAGAGATTTGCTCAAAACTCAGAAATTTCGTATCGAGTGCCTTCTCAGAGGTTACTCACTGATTATCCGAAATTTTCTGTATAAAAGTGTGACCTTAACAATGAAATTAGTAATTCGTCGAATTAGGAATGAATTCTCGGGTACTTCCTCATTCAGGGTTATTTCGAGCTACTTTTACCTCTCAAGGGCAATTTCATAATTTCTTAACCAAGTAATTTTGGTATTAAACCCGTTGACAAGAATAATTATAATTTAGAGATCCTAGGGTTCATTGCTTTCCCGAATAATATATGAACTTGAAATTACTCCTTATCAAACTTCTAGTATCTTGTACAAGCCATCTTGGGTTTAGAATTCAGTTTCCCAGATTTTCTATGAAAAACTAGCATTTTATATGCACATCAGTAGTTTCCTCAGATCAATATGTCTTTACAAAGTTCTTATCCATCTTTTAGGGTCAATTCTTGTCTTTTTACAATATAAGGGTATTTTTGTAATTTTACCTAATCGAAGTATTCTTATAATTTATCATCCAAGTACCTTTAATGAGATAAATTATAATTTACATATCCATGGTCGATTCTTTTATCACTTAATCCCATAACTTGAAATTTAATTCCAACTGTCATCCAATTTCTTATTTTAGTCATCTAAGCCATATTCAGTTACCTACTTTTTACCGCATTCGTAACGAGTGTAGGAATTAATTAACTATCCAATAAATCCCAATATTTTCATTCATGCATTTACCAATAACAACATGTTACATAAAGCATGAAAATGTAGTAATGTATTACCTCATTTTCCGTGCCATTCTGGTCGACCATTTAAATTCCATTCGAATGCCATCGTTCTTTGATTCAACTTCCAATATTTTCCTCACGATCTAAGCCATCAAAATTACTAACTCGTGTCCAAATATTTCCCTCGCCATAAAGATAGCTTATTAGAATTTAAATAATAATTTGGAAACCCAATTTGTATAATAGAATACTTGTGAGGCTACTTTAATAATTAATCACAAAAATTAGAGAATGAACCGAAATAATTGACACTATTGGGCCATAAACAAAAGCTAATGGAAACTAGGAGACAAGGCCAAGTTCTTACCAAACCCGGAGGACTCATGATACGATTTTCCACTTTATTTTCATAGACACCACCCACGTGATTTTTCATGTTGGAATCATAACCCCATTTTCCTTTGTCTTCAGATCATATTCCTTTTTGTTTTCCCTTAATTTTTATTTCTCCCATGGAGAGCGTTCATGTCGAACGTCACTAGTACACCAGTTTCTTTGAAGAAACAGTTGAGTTATCCCACCTCTCCATGTGCAAACATCCCTTCAAAAATCTGAACAACCCGTCTTTCATCTTCTGGAATGGATGGCAAGGAGACTTCAAATTCCCGACATCGTACAACACTAGATCTTACAAAGAGCCTCCAACTCTTATCCTCAAATTGTTGAAAGCTTGGATAGCTTTGGCAAGGAAAGGATGAGACAAGGTCAGATTCGTTACCGATGTATAGTGCTATGGACACTGGTCGTAATTACACTTATCATGAGGCTACTAATCAATCGTAACACAAACGAAGTTATCATCGGTTTGAGCAACAGTCATAGTTCCATCGACCACGATTGACCCATGACTAATATCTTGAGCAAAAATCGCTCGGATCAAAACCATGAATAAGAACAAACTGAAGCGCAGTTCCATTCAGTAAATTGATTGTAACGGCCTTACTCTTCCACCTCGATGTATTAACTTAACTCCAAAAGAAAATAAGCTAGAAACAGGCATTAGAACAAAAGCAGAAAAAGAGAAAAATGTAGTGAAGTTTTTTTTCCTTCTGTCATCAAATCCAGCTGTGAATCAACAACCAGGAAATAATATAACATTTATTCTAAGCTGGAAAGCAATGGATTCCAACATTGTCTGCAATACCATTATCCTTACTTAAAAAAATATATATCTCTTATTGAGTGGCCCTCAATTTGTTTAATAATATAATAGTATGAAAACACAATTATTTGCCAATCAAACTTTATATCATTTCATATATTTTAAACTGAAAAAAATCTAACCCCATATTGACGTGTGACAATTCTCCCTTCCTTAAAAGGATTTCGTCCTCGAAATTCATTCATGTCACATAATTGCATAAATGAAAATTCAATCAATTTTTTCATATCTTCAAGTAGCTTTTAAATAAGTATCGATCCTCTATTATTCTTAAACCAACTGAGTATATATTTTTGTCAGAACTCTCCCTCATTTAAATAAAAGGTATCTTACATAATCCAATTTCATTTCTGATGTCGGGTCAGAATTTCTCGGATAAGTAAC